GTTAGCAGATAAAAGTTCATACGCCTGCATCAACTTCGAGTTGTGTCAGTTATTTGTATCATACAGAAATACATGGATCGTATCTCTTTTTGTGTTTGAAACGTGTACCTATTTCGTTTTACATATGAACATTTCTCCGGAGAGCAAACATCGTCATGGCGTTTCGGATAATCGCTTTTCTTGCAATGACGTGAGTTTCAGGCATGAATTAATGCGTATCTAGGTAACCTGACCTGACCCTAACTTGGAAAGTGGTCGCAAGTTTGTGTATACCACGTGCTAGCTTACCCACTTTTCATTTATTAACGTGATCACCTGCACAAAAAACCGTATTGGACAATAGTGAAAGCTTCGTCACAATAATGCTACGTCATTGTGACGTCATCATGTCTGGTGGTTGTAAATTTATGGCGTAGCTGCCTTAAAGGCGTTTTGAAAGATGCACATCACATTTGCAGATAGCTGTGGCTTGCATTTAGCCGAACTTCATTCAAATCGGATGAGAGATATTGCTATTTTTTTCACTGTACGATATATTTCAAAGCGCTATAATGGTCTTTTTCGAAAAAACATGTGTTCAATATTTTCACAAGTGAAATTGAATGCAGGAAGGTAACTTTTGCTTCAAAAAAAACTTTCAAAAAAAGGTGGCCACACTTTCAAAATTTGAATTTTAGAAATAATTTTGAATTTTAAAAAGTTAGAAATTATATTTTCCAAAAATAAATGGTACCACCACAACCTTCAGTTTATTGTGATTTCGAAGACATGCAATTTTATATAGTTTGAACAAGAAATCAACGAAACATTGGTTGATGAATATTAAAGTTTTTGAGGCCGTCTTTTACTTGTTTGGGGCTGTATCTCCAAAAGTATTAGTCGGACAAGGCTGAAAATGTCACAGCACGAATCGCCGCCCAAGATAACCCCTTAGACAAAGTTAAATCAAAATCTGAGAGGTAGGGTGTTATTTCGAGATTTTTTTGGTCGATCTGTCGTGGAATGCCCCAACACGTCTCGGCTGAAAGAAGAGGCTATAGTGTGCAGGTAAGTAGTCGTAGCTAGAAACAAAGGTATCGCACTGAAGGTCAAATCGGTGAGGTGGTAGCGAGAACATATCCGTCCCTCCGGGCACTCGGAGTAGAAACTCGGTGTCCAAATCCGTTGGGCATTGGGTAGCGATTCTAAGGGTGGGAGAAGTAGCCACCTCAAAAAGCCAACTTGGAGGCCGGAGGGATGTAACTGTATTACTTGTTGTCTCGGTAAGTTTACCAGCCCGGCGAAAGTAATTGATCAAAGGACTAGGATCTTAAAAAAACTACTGCGAATGAGCTAGTCATGAGAATTCGACGGGACGGGCGATATCTCAATCACACTTACAGGGTGTCCCATAAGTTCGTTCTCACCTAAATTTTACGTTTTTAGGCTTTCTTGCTTAAAGGCACGCTGAAATTGGTTCGTAACTGAGCTTACATGGTTGCCATGGGTGGTAGAAATATGCTCCACAGTAGCTAATTTCTGTAGACAAAATAGTTTTTGCTAGAGAGCCCGCTTCCTACAGACACGGCTAACGCCGCAACATAGAGGTCTCCGATACGGGTACGTCTCAGTATTTAGTCAGCACGTGACAATTCGCGACGATTGAGGGTGATTGAGGCCTACCAGTCTGTAGCCAATATCCATCGCTAACTGGACGCACAGTCAGCAAGTGACGCCGATGATTTGTTGGGAGTTAATCACTGCAAGTTTATCCTCTTTCTAGCCAGCCCTCAGGAATGAGCCAAGTGGCCAAAACTGTGTGGCGCCAAAGTGGCCATCAAAAAGGTCAAAGGGTTAGAAAGTTGGTAAACAGACTTTTCAGGATGGATTACCAGCTGTCTAAGAGTGTTCTTTCGGGGTACATAACTCAAGGTGACTTAAGCTTTGCTTACCGGAGGGCACAAAACAGTCAAAAACGTCTTAAAATGGCCAAACATGAGTTTCGTTATGCCTGAGGCTAAACAAAACTAGAGGGCTGATGACATCAACCAGGTCATCTGGACTAACTAGTCCACGTTCGAGATGAAACACCCGTCCAAACCCGAAAACAACCCCATAAGGGCGAAGGAGGAGGCCTTCATTTCGTCCCGTTATGTTCCTATGCAAAAGGCCAGGGTCACTGTGTTGTGGGGTTATAGGCGTTCTGGAGTTGATCAAGTTACAAGTGGCAACCCAGAAACAGTTTTGGGAAGCAGAATGCTTTTCCAAGAACATCTAGGAGGAATTTCAGCCCTCAAGCTGAACTCGAACCGCGAGTATGAACACATTTATAGAGGAGAAAATGGCATCCGGGAGGTCGTAGGCCCATCTTCAGGCAAGACAGTGCATCAGTGCACAGGTCAAGCAAAGCTTAAAAGCGGTGCAAGGAGACTGTGACAGGCGTTTGTGGCAAGATCACATGCCAGGCACCTCATCGGATCAAAATTTCATAAAAAATTTGTTGGTTATGCTGAAGTTGAGGCTCGTCGAAGCGCAGCGCTGTTCCAGCCTCGAGGAGCTCACGGCGCATGTCAAGTCAGTCTGGGTTAACTTTAAGCCTGCTATGCAGCCAAACATGCCGGTTGGCATGCCGCAGCATGCATTCATGTGTTTGCCTATTGAATGGGGAGCACATTGAGGGGTCATAAATATACCAAAACGCAATGTACTCTGTTTCACATGCAAACATAATGTGAGAACGAACTTATGGGACACCCTGTACACCTTCGTTATGTTTCAGTACTCTTCGGTGGACAGCTACGTGAACAACACCCACCACACGGCGGCAGTGCAGGCCGGCGCGTGTCGACTGTTCGTGCTGCTGCTGTCGTCCCTCTCCTCCCTGGACCGCCTTCACACAGTCACCTACCTAGTGGGCAGCGTATGGGACCACCGCGGCCACTACATCCTACTGACCCCAGCGTCACCCGGAGACGCAGCCGCCACCGCCTCTAGCGGCGTGCTGGAAAACCTCCCCTACTTTCACGTGGCACACCCGATTGGAGACCCTGTGCGACGAGTGGCGCTATGGCTCTACTCAGGCTTCGACCTCTCCATGAGATACGTTCAAGGGTGGAAACCAAACCGAAAAGCGCCTAGCCTGTCTCCACCTCCAGCTAACTTTGTAGGCAGACGATTGAAATTCGTCAGCTTTGAGCACGAACCGAGCAACATCTACCTGGATCACAAGTTGGGCGGCGACCACGTGGGGATGGATTACTGGTTGGCACGCGCGTTGGCCGACGTGTATAACTTCACCTTGGACATGCGGGAGCCGACCGACGGCGGCAAGTGGGGCGAGGCGCTACCAAACGGCACCTGGATCGGCCTCGTGGGCGACGTCAAGGAGCGGCGGGCGCACTTCGGCATCGCCAACATTTTCCTGACGCTCAGCCGGTGGAAGCACGTCGACTACACGCGGCCGTACGACCACGAGCACGCCTGTTTCGCGGTGTGGAACAAGCCGCCGCTGCCGCACTGGCTGGCCGTGGTGCGGCCGTTCTCGTGGCCGGCCTGGCTGACGATCCTGACCAGCCTAACGCTAAGTGTGGCCGTGATGGTGGTGCTGGCGCGACTGGCCGGCGGCGAGCGGGCCGCATTCACCTCTCTGCCGCGCGCCGCCATGTACAACTTCGGCGTGCTGCTGGCGCGCACCCACCTCATAGAGCCGCGCCGCGCGCCCAGTCGCAGCTTCGATATCGGCTGGCGGCTGGCGGCCATGGTGCTGGGGTTCGCCTACTGCGCCAAGCTGATCTCGTTCCTGACGTTCCCCACGGTGCCGGAGCCGATCGACTCGCACCGCGAGCTGGCAGAGACCGGCGTCGAGGTCGGCAGCTGGGGCGGCACCCTCGGAGAGCTGATGGCCGCCTCGACCAACCCCTGGGACCGTCAGCTGGCCACCCGCTACATCCCCAACTACGACTTCGACAACGCGCTGCGCCGAGTGTTCGCACAGGAGTACGGCTACATCGAGAACCGAAACACGCTCATCTACTACATCCAGAAGTACTACACCACCAAGACTGGCCAAAAGCAGCTGCATATCATGGACGAGTGCTTCCAGAACTTCATGATCAGCGTCATGCTCCCCAAGTACTCGATGCTGACAGATCTATTCAGCCGGACGATTCTCAGGGTGCGAGAGGCCGGTCTGATTCCAATCTGGTTCAGCTGGTCGCTGGACGCCGTCAAGACGGAGCTGGTGGACATCGCGCGCGGCTCGAGCTCCGACTCTCTCCGGCGCAGTCTGAGTCTGGAGCATATGCAGGGTGTGTTCCTGCTGCTGCTGCTCGGCTGGGTGCTCAGTCTGCTGTCGTTTCTGGCTGAGTTCGGTGCGAGGAAGGTGGGGGCCGGACGCGTCTCGCCGCCGCCACCGACCCCGCCCGTGGAGACAGCGGTTCCCACTGAGAGGGGCGAGGTCCTGCTGCTCAGTATGTAGACTGACGGCAGTACATCACCACTGACCACAGGCACATATCTTGCAGCTATAACACTTGTATATAACATTCGCAGATAAAGCACACAAACACATGCACAGCAAAGATGCACGTTAATTGTTATGCCAGATGACATTGTTGAAGAATATCTTCAGTATGGAAATGCGGGCTCCAGGCTTTCGAGGTAAAAAGCAATATTTTGTGTGACAGCGGCAAGAAAACCGGTCAGGCCGGGATCGATAGTTATTTCAGTACCGGAAAGGAGTTCATGCTATAGCCTTGGTGATGAACACTCGTGGTTTGTAACTGTGAGGTCTAGCTCTAGTCCTATACAAAATAACGTGTTATTAGATACCAACTAGGTAGGACACCGAGAGCTAATGTTCATATTGTTTGAGGGACGAAAGGCTGGCACAAGCCAGTCACACGACGCTTAACGACGAGCTTAAAGCTTGAACACTTTTAGACATGACCCTTAAAACTATCCTGCAGCTCGCGAGCGAAACAACTCGCAGGCTAAGCTGAATCTAAACCTCTTTTAAGTCAAGCACTCGTTATTCTTATATATAAGGTCTGAGGGGAAATCGTGTATTAAGATCATGATAAAATCATAAATAGAGAAAAACCACGCACAGCAAATGTACCAAGATACAAGTGTTCCCGCTGGTATAACTTGCAGTATATCTACAAAGGCTAAAAAAGGAAGCATTTGTACACTTGGAAGTATTTGAACTAAACTGGCATGATACACGGAAATCAGTGCATGAATACATGCACACTAGCCTAGTTAAAATGTTCTGTGGCTGTTAATCATCCTACTGAATGGCAGCTAGACTAACCCTATGTTACAAAAACAGCACAGCATTATGAAAGCAGTTATGGCGTCACCCTGTACAGAAAAATAGACCACGGTGACACGGTCGCACCCGCAACAAGCTCGCGATTGAGCACCCTGTATGATAACCGGCACCGGGAACGATTACCGACAACCGACGGCGTGGCATTGGGTCGTCAGAGTCGCTGCGGGACTGAGCGGGGACCGATCCCACGGCCACATACCCGGCGTTACACTGGCCAGTCAACGGTAACCCGTTCCGCCGCACCGCACAGATGGCGGAGCAAGGCGGAGTGTCCACCTTCACATCCCACGAGCACACAGCGTATGACAACCCAAACCGGACGGAACAACAGCCTGGACCTCCTAGCCATCACAACCGGACCTGGTCGAACGCGCCTACCCACGGAATGGTCTCACACAGAAAACCTCTCCCCGTTCAGAACTAGCCAGCAGGAGCCGCTAGAAACCATCCCACTGGCTGATCATACAAGATAAAGCCCTTAGCTGAAAAAACGCATACATGCACTTTTGCGCTTGCAATGCCCATGCCAACACCACACACTACATTTAGAAAGCACACTGGCACACAAACTGGCGCATGGCACAGAGTATAAACAACATGTAAAAAATGCCGCAAAATACGCGCAAATATTAACATAAATACACCCGTCTCGAGACAAACACACCGTCACCAACAAGTCTCGTATACACACTGCACTGGTCGAGGGCCGTCGCCTGGCTGCAGCGCAGCTAACTGGGGACCATGGTGGCTAGTTTGAGACCGTTTCGTTTTTAGCTTCGTTTTTAAGGCGTTGGCTAGCTGGGAGCTGCTTTGGCTAGCTGGAGACCTTACCGTGGCTAGCTGGGGCCGCGGTGGGTAGCTAAAAGCCACATTGTGGCTAGCTAGGGGTCGTATCGCGGCTAGCTAGATGGCAGGATGGCTATATAGCTAGTTGTCGGGGTAACCTTCTATTTAGTTACCACGGCAGCCATCTAACTACTTACTGGTGTGGCAGTATAGCTAGTTTACGGGGTAGCTATCTAGCTAGTTGTCGCGTTGTCGTCTAGATAATTGTCTGTACGGCGAACATCCCACACGGATCAGTGAACAGCAGTGTCCCGGCGAGTACGAGCGCAGCGCCCAGCCAGTGCTGCGCCACGAACGGGTTCGAAAAGTACCAGATGGAGAAGAGCAGACTGGCAAACTTACGGAGTGTGACGACCAGCGTGACGACAAGAGAGGTGCACTGCTCCGTCAGCCGAAACACCATGCTGATGCAGAGGTATCTGGGCGAAAGGCAGGTCAAAGAAAGAAACGAGACTGAATGCAGGTGCGCATGGTAAAATACAGATGAACGATTTAATAACTTATGGTACGTGGTACGCACGTAAAACAGAAATGAACCCATCCACTCACGCATTCATAGACACCAGTAAAACGCCTTTTCGGCGAAGAACGAGCGAGCGAGATAGTGAGCCCTGCACGTGCGGAAGGGCGAGAGGGTACTTCCAACGGGGCTTGTGCAAAGCACCCTTCTAAACGGTCGCTAGCGGTGTGCCAAATTTGAACACAATCGGCCCAGCCGCTCCTGAGATCTGGAAGCGGCATTCTGCACGTGCGCACGTGCAAACGGGGTCCAAACTGACTTTTGCACGGCACGCTACTAACCGGTCCCCAACCGTGTACCAAATTTGAGCGCAATCGGCCCAGCCGTTCTCGAGATCTGGAAGCGCCCCCTGCACGTGCGCACGTGCAGTAGCACCCTAACCGCAACACATGGGAATGCATTGCCTGGTGGGTGCCGACCTGTATGCCAAGTTTCAGCGAAATCGCCCCAGTAATTACCGAGTTATTGAAATGGGAACACATTTGGCACCTCTTCTTTTTTTTTTATTTTGCACGTGCATTGGGGGTCACTCACATAGATCAAGAGTATCCGACCTTTGGTAGAAGGGATGCAGCTACCCTACAAAAATTACCGCAAGACAATCACCCAAGCGGCTGCTGAGATATGAGCCTCTCAAAATCACTACTTTTGCAAAACAGCCTGAACACCCTTGACTTTTCACGTGGCACGTGCCACGCCGGTCACTGAGATGTGTCAAAAGTAGTCAATTACGGGGTAGAAGGGATGGGGCTACCCAGCAAAAAAGACCGCAGGCCAATCGGTCCAGCGGTTGCTGAGATATAAGCCTCTCAAAAGCGTTACAGGCCGGGCCGGGCCGGGCCGCTCATACTGAGATTTTTCCGTTATATTGAAAAGACTTCGCTTCGCTCGCTGCGCTCGCTCGCTCGTAAAAACTCAAATTGACACAGGCCACAGACATAAGAGCAAATACAGAAAAACAAAGACAGACACAAGCAGACCATAATAGACACATACACAGAATTATTGACGCACACAACAGACAAACAGATGTGCGAAAAAGCAACAGCAGACTACTGATCACGACAACAGACAAAAAGGATATCACAAATGACAATCCACAAGCTGATAGCAGATGATAGAAGCAGGACTTTCAATCAGCGATATCACGGATGACGTAACGCATTTTTTTCACTCGACCATTGTTCAGTGCGCAACACACATGTCCTGCTGTCACCATGAAAGGATACTGAGTGACGACGTTGCATCCGAGCAGCAGCCACAGCTTGGGGACGGCCCCGAACGGTGCGAGCAGGACGGGCTCCGACTGGCTGAACAGCTGGGCGTGGTGGTAGATGTCCGGCAGCAGCGGCACGAACAGCGGCAAGGGGAGAGTGTGCTGCGGAGAGAATAACGTTACTATAGGCGGCGTATACTGCAGGTAACAGCGGCATTAACAGCGGCAGGGGAGTGTCAGCTGCGGGGAGAAGAGGGACGAACGTTATCAAACGTAGCGTAAGCTATGGATTAAGCACGGAGTTAATGGCAGCGTGAGCTACGGACAAATTATGACGAAGGAAGGTGTTAGCAGACAATTGTGTTCCAGAGAAAATACGGGAAACCGCGGTATTAGTGGCAGCGGGTGCTCTCGAGAAAGCAACGGTTGAGGGTTTTCAATTAACAGCACCTGAACATCGCACTGTTTTCACCAGTCTAGCAGAAAAAAAAACACAGAGGCCTTTAAGATCAAGATGAGTTGACTTCTAAGATGAGAGGCTACGAAACTAAAACCTAACGTGTTGCAAAGAGACAAACGGTACTAGCGAATGCAGTAGCCATCAGATTGGTATATCAGATTTGCCGATAAAAGTTCGAAACACGCATGAAACGCGTTCGCGAGCATGTGAACGTGTTAGCCATAAGTTACACAGAGCGCTGGTAGAGCTTCCACCCTTCCACCCACACATACAGAACAGTGCACACCCTCGCTTCACTGACCGTGATGAAGAGAGCCTGCTGCGAGTGTCGGCCGTAGTCGCGGTACAGCACCTCCTGAAAGATACCCAGCCGGGCGGCGAGCAGTAGCGCTGCCGTCAGGATGGCCACGCCGAGCGCCAGGGTGGCCGGGCTGCTCCGGTCCAGACCGGAAGGGGGCGCTTTGGTCGGACCCTCCGCCGCCGGCTTCTCGGCAGATTTCACCGACTGTGGGGCACAAACACGGTAGGTCAGACTGGATATATCCAGACAGGGTGTCATAAATACTGACGTGATGAATTTGTTTTCATGTAAATACATGGACTATTTTAAAGTACCTACTTTAAGCGCCCTGTGAGGCGCAGCTGGTTCGTCATGGTCAGGTCAAGGTGGGTGGTCCAGTCAATCACCGATCTGCGAGGCTATGGTCATTGGTCACTCATCACCCACCTTAGAGGCTATCGTGGTGCCCATCACCCACCTGGGAGGCTATGGTGCTCAGTATGATTCCGACGGTGACCAGCGCCACGGCGGCGTACTTGTGACGCGGGTAGAAGCGGCGTAGCACCACCATTCCCATGAACAGGTTGGCCACCAGCGAGCCCTGAAACAGGCAGACAGTCCCCGATGAGAAGGCCGACAATGCGAAACGAAAACAATAAACGAGTAGGAGCCGAACACGTACAATAAACAGTCTCGTCACACAGACAGAGCATCTAAACAAATAAGGTAGAAAATGATTTAAAAAAAAAATGCTTACCGATTTGAAGATCATGTGCAGAGGCATTGGAATCCCAAAGTTCAATGCATAGTTGTTGAGAACGCTGGAGCCAAAGAACAAGCAGACCATAATGATGTACTCTCTGAAAAAAAATCATTCATACAATAATGATTGTGATAATTTACCTTGTGGGTATTCATAACTTAGTAGAATGAGGATTTACAGGATCATATGAATATAGTTGAGTAATGAGTGTAAAATACTTTTAGACACTTTTGACTTTGGATATTCACCATAAAGTCTACAATGTTAGCATGCATTATATCAGACAAATGTTGAATTCAAATACACATATTAGGCCATATGGTGCTGAGTCTAAATTTGGTGTAATATTATTTTGAACAAAGAAAAAAAACTCACCTTAAAGGGATTTTGGACTGCTCTTTGCCACACCTCATGGTGAAGATAAAACCATGCAAGGCAATAAAAAGAAACTGAGAAAATGTGACCAAATTTCCACAGCCTGGATGAACCCTGCAAATGAAGACAACACAACACATTAAAGGCATACATCATGTCAAAGAAAGCTTAATTCTAACTTCGTATTTGCTTCTAAACAGGGCATTATGCGAAAGCATTTATGCAGCCCTTATGCAAGTTCTATTGTAGATTATGAGCTATTTGATGTTAATCTATAAATATAACAAATATTTGCTAAAAAATCAGAAAATGATGGGAAGATAACAGGCTAATAGGCATTTCTTACATTCAAACCACTAATGGATAACTATTAACACTTAAATGAATAGGTAGTACTCACTTGGTCAAACACTCCAAAAATACAACATTGGAGCAGCATCCCAGCATCACCAGGAAAATGATCAGTGGAATATTCATGACAGTATTTTCTTCTTGTTGGCTGATTCCAATGACTTTTTCTCTCAGAATTCACCTGCACTAAAGAGCAGAAATACACATATCAGTAGGAAAAGATGCACTGGCTACAATTCTTATATTCATTTAAGTCAACCATCACAAAACTCAGCAATCACACTTTGGAAAAGCAACTATTGAAGTCTGAAGATTTCCTGCAGCACAGTGTAGACATCCAGAAATGGTGCCCATGGTGCACTGTGCAGTGCAAAGTTTGCACATAACAGTGCAGGAATAAGTAATAACATGCTGAACAACACAATCCCTAATTATAATGCAAAACTGCCCCTACATAATAAAGGGTGAGTACAGGTTTATAAATTTTGCTGAAAAAATTATAGGTCTTCTTTGTTTTGACTGGTGCAGATTTCCTACCTAGATGGTAAGAACTAATGCAAATTCATCACCCTAGCTGGTGCATCTTGTCAACCATGTTTTAATGCTTTACAATCTAGCAAATCAAAACACAGACTGCAGTCTCACATCTTCTCTGAAAACAGCTTCACCTCATTTCAGCACAAAGTGTGATCTTTAAAATTTTGTGCTGCAATATACATTCCTTTTGAGTGTGGGGTCATACAGGTCTCAAGTCTAACCAGACTTGAAAAGCATCTCAGTAGTTGATAATTGATATTGATATTGATGCAGGCAGCAGTGGCAGGACACACCCCAAAGCAATGTCAAAATTTGCACTAGACCACACATCATAAAGCGACCATCACTTCAAAAAGCCGTCGAATAAAATGCAACCCAAAGTTAAGTTAAGCAAAAGTAAAAAAAAAAAATATAATGAAATTAGGAGGTGCCGAATTCCAAGCAATAGGTAGGTACCTTCATCACATCACCTCACAACCACCAGACAGTATATGGTATACAGTATACTGCCTTGCACCAGACTTTCGGCCTTTTGATGGTTGTTAGTGAGACGAGAGAGGTAGCCTGAGGGCGCATATTTGAAGATGGGATTGGGAACACAAATTGTGGGACTTTTTGATACTTTTTAGTCTTAAATCTTGTAGCTTGTTGAGTTTGAGACATTGTAGGCTATTAATTTTTGCAATTTCTATTATTTTTGCAATGCAATTACACTTGTTCCTGTGATTATCACTGTATTATCCGTGTATTATCTCACAGCGCTCAAACGTGCAGTAGACTTTCACAGAATGAGCTCTATGAGCATAGAAATAGGTGTACACTGTATTATCTTATATATACTTATCGGAAATTCTTATCGATTCTAGCAAAACTTGTTAGCACTGTGTAACCTGTTAGGCGCATGATTCCAGTCAAGTCTTGCATGACATTACCATATCAGTCGGGCGCACTATGGTATCGGCAGTCCATTTATGGATACGTATCCATTAAAGGAAACGTTTCCAAATTTGGAAGGCACTTCGTTCCATTTATGGAAACGCTAGTTCCAAAATTAGAAACGCCAATTTTTAAGCAGGTATATTTCTGTATTTCTAAAGTTAATCGTCATCTTTTCAGCTGGCGTGTCTTTTCGTCTATATGTTTTCTCCCAAAACAGTAAAATCCAACAATATTTTCGTACGCAAATGGCGAATCTGATTCCCTGACGCAAACCCTTGTAAACGTTCCATTTTTGGAAACGGAAGTTTCCAAAAATGGAAACTATGAGCCAACACAGGAAAAGGCATAAGTACCATATGTGGGCCTGTCTACCCCACGCCCTCTAAGTAATTGCCAAGCTATTGATGCCGGTACATGTTCCGATATGTGTGATTTCCCTTTACATCTAAATTTCGTATGAATGGTCCTCCTATTGCTTGGGCATAGGGCCCGAAAGCCGATGTTGGTACAATAATGCTTACGAAAATGTGTCTTCTGGGGAAAGTCCCCAATTTCTAGGCACCTACATAAACCCCAGAACTGTCCAACCGTCTTGCCTACTAAGCTGCAACTGCTTACGAAACCCACATTATAACATATTTTAACTGTTGCAAGCATACATGCGTGACTGCAGTAAGCGTCGCGATGTGCCCTGAATTGTAGTCAACAGACTCTGGCTTCCCAAGAAAAGCAAGGCTTTATAAGTAAGGCTGGAGTTAAACTTTGGTCTAATCAGGCCGGTTCAGAAGCTCCGGTTCGCATTTCATGCTGTCGGAGCATGCACCTTTTCCAACCTTCCCGTAGATTATTAGAAATGAGGAAGGCAGAAAGTGTTTGTAAAAACATTAAATGCAAATAAGAGTTGAAATACATATAACCTACTGCATCTGTGAGCTGTATGTACAGCTTGAGTTAAAATTTGTCATTTGTTCCAAAAATGGAAACTGTGCTTCATAAAGCATTATTCAATGGGCCTTATACAGGCACAAACTGAAGGCCTACTGAACTAATATGGTGCAAAGTGGGCAATTAGTGCAGTTTGAGCATTTCCCTATCCATAGACATTGTTTATAACACCTTGTCATCGCTTTTTCTTATAATTGAATCGTTAAAAACTGGACGACAGTTTGGATCGCTTCAAACAAGCAGTAACATATCAGACCTTTAATGCAATTAGTTACATACATTCTAACAACTTTCACACATTCGTAAGTTAAATCAGTCGGGGAAACTATGGTAAAATCTGCTATTTTTAGCAGTCTGCTATTTTTAGCAGAAATCTGCTAAAAATGGGTACGCATGTGACGTCATCGTACCCAAATATAGCAGATTTGGGTACGGCCCCCGACAAAAGCAGATCTGCACCCTAATTGAATCAAATGCGCATCAAATGCCGGGCAGATTCATGATTAGCATAGTGCTGAGAATGTCCTCTGATATTTTTGTTCAGATCCGACTATTTTTAAATAATGAATTTCAAAATAGTCGGATCTGAACAAAAACAGCAGAGAACACTCTCAGCACTATTCTCATCATGAATCTGCCAGGCATTTGATGCGCATTTGCTTCAATTAGGGTGCAGATCTGCTTTTGTATGGGGCCGTACCCAAATCTGCTATATTTGGGTACGATGACGTCACATGCGTACCCATTTTTAGCAGATTTCTGCTAAAAATAGCAGACTGCTAAAAATAGCAGATTTTACCATAGTTTCCCCGACTGAAATGGGTGCTAAGAAGTTCAGTTTGCCCACTTAGAAGCATCTGTACGAAATATTTTCCAACTTCCCGCCTTCCAAAGCCGGAGAGACTATCTCCGCACGTGGTCACCAACACGCCATTCAGGGCTTGCTTTACAGCAATGTAGGATATTAATGAATACCAGACAGCAAGTCTGTCAATTAAAAAATTGCCATTCTTGTGAAAATCAAATTTTTCCACAAAAAAATGAAGTATATTTCATTAATGACACATAAAAGTTCACCTATCATGAAAAATTCTATTGTTTACAAAAGGAAGTGGACCGTGCAAGCCTGTTCAACAGCCGATTTTTCTGTTCAACGTTGGAATTATGAAGCGAAATGAGGTCTTTTGATTGGTGGCCTTTGTTTGATGCGGAGATCTATGGTTTGTTGCGGAAACTACCGAACAGGTTTATGTGCTCCTTGCGTTTCCGAAAATAGAAACGGAGCGTTTCCATTATTGGAACAGATGGTTTTTAGCATTTCCATTTTTGAAACTTTCTTCCAAAAATAGAAACGTTTCTATAAATGGACTGCCGATACCATAGTGCGCCCGACTGATATGACGGGTGCGGTTATTTTTTCTCATCTTAGTTTGCTATTTTGGCGCGATTTTGACAATTTCTGGCGCATTCCACTTATTTACTTTAGCGGCCATAGGGCAATGGTTTACTAACGGGAGATGTGATGAATTGCAGCAGCAATACTTGGAATATAAAGAAGTGAAGCAATTATGATACCTATTATTTTTTATAATGACAGAAGGAACGTGGAAGAAAAAACATTTTGTGCAGCATGTGAAAACAAGGAAATAGAATGAAAGAAGGACTGCTACTTTTCATGCGCCCGAAACCAGCCACCTCATCATCATAGCATGGTAATGATAGTTTAAGTTAATGTTAAAAAAGAATAGGAGGAGCTGCTGCAAAGGTGATGTCTCAAAGCCGTTAAGTCAAGTCAGGCATGCTCTTACAGACCGAACATTCAAGTTACGAGACCCCATCATACCGCTCCAGTGGCTGGTGCTTATATTGTGCAATTTCAGATACTTTGTTTTTTGTGGCATAATATCTAGAAAGTTTTTTGCAAGTCTGGTGATGACTGATAATTCAAATCAGTGATTTAGTAAAATTAAGTTGAGTGGGTACAAGTGCTTTTTTCTGTAGAAGAAATATTTGATTTTGTTTTTGCTTTGCTTACCTGCTGTCATTATCATAATTGCCTCTATTGAGCTGGGTGTTTCATTATATATTGAACTACCAAATTTATATTTGAAAAGTAGGTATTTAATCTGTAACAACGAGCATTAGGCTGCATGGCAGTAGTCGAGCTTGTCAAATACCTAAATGTTTTGCTCAGAAATTGTTTGCTTTATTGGTTTCTTGAGTTTCACCAGATAAAGATACAAGGTTGGCTGATTTGGTGTTAGTTATCCATATTAAGTGCACTGTTTGTGAAATGTGACAACGACAAGATTATGGAAATTGTAACCTCAATAATGAAATTTCATGCTGTCAAAGTTATGAGATGTTGCCTTGAGTTTGAAATCAGGCAAACATGGATTGAAGCTGTTTTCTAAAAAAAAAACTGCTTTTCAGTAACTTTCACCTCATAATTTGTATTTATTCAATCTCAGATGGGAGCAAGGCTGAATGACAATTATCTTTTGGGAAATGCTCTACAAAACTACATTGTTTTTATTTCTGTGGTATAATTTTGTGCCTAATTCAAAGACTTTCTCTGGTGTAGTTTGTAAGATTGTTTGAACTTCTACTTTCTGACCTGTTTGGTGCCAATAAATCCTGCAACCTATTTAGCTTATTTACCCATCTCCCTTGCCATTCCTACATATTTCATGTCAGTCTGTTGCATAAATATGGTGTAGTTAACATACTTCATGATATACAAATGAATGGTACCTATAGAGGCTCGATGTGGGTAAATGAGAACCAATGAACCTATATTTTTTACAATGGCATCAAGTCCTCTTGTCACGGCCATGGATATCACAGAAGATTTTGCTGAACTGCGCAAGAGAATCCTGTGCAAGGAAATGTTTTGCATGATTTAGCTTAACAGCATAAATTTTATTTTCCCAGTTGCATTGGAGCTCTGCTGGAGTTTGCTGATGACAGGATGCTGAAGGGCTGAAGCTGGTAGCTCTGGCAGGAGTCCAGTGTCCACCAGCTCAAGATCCGACGCCGCCGCGTCGCCGCCGTGCGGCACTCCGCGGAGACGGGGACGGCGGTCATGATTGAAGACACCGCATTTCCCGCCTGGACTGTCCGGTCGGAGACTGATAATCCCTCAGGTGAGCCGCACACCGTGGAGCTACTGCACCGCGCGTGTCCACCCGCAGTGCAGTGCCAGCAACGGTGCCGTGAGTGCGACATCTGCGTGCATATGACGCAGTGCGACTGTCACGACCCGCGGCTCAGTGTTAACTGTCAGTGTGACAGTGCGGCTCGCGCTCGTTTTAGCGAGGTGCTCTGTTGTATATAACCACCTTGATGGAGACCTATGTGCTGCCGCTTGAGTTTCAATGTACAGTTTTATGCATCAAACTAGCGTAAGTAAATGGCTGTCAGAGGTCAATTTGAAGCGCAATTAGTACCCATAACCCAGCTGGGTTGACCGTGTCATGTGACTAGTCCCGATGAACGTACTGTTTCGATGTCGTCAGTCGTAGACTTTTGTAAACCATTCGTTTCGGAGCTCTGTGTTGTGTTGTTCGGGATCGCAGTTGTTTGAGCAGTATGCTTTATGCGTCGTACGCTGACAGAACGCTGGTCGTACACAAGTCATGTGTTTCCTTTCGCCCCTAATGGGTTACTGCGGTACCTATGCAGTTGGAATGTATCTCGATTCTCGAGACACTAACTGGTCGCACTTGGTTGTGAAAATGACACTAGCTGGTCGCACTTGGTTTCAAGCTGTGCTTGGAAATGGTGCAATATTATTTGCATTTTGCAATGCAATTTTATTGCCGTAACCGTATTGGTAGATAGTGTCAGAAGTTGGCCATTTGATGCGTTGTCACTTGTCAGACGCTGTTGCCTTAGTACTGACAAATTGATGGGCCGCGTTTGTGTTCCTGTTAAGAAACGGATCTCAATATAAGGTGATTCAGAGGTAGGAACCTGAATGCATTCGTTCAGACTTTTCATTTTATGGGGATGCACTGTTTCATGAGCAAGAACGAGCATGGCTCTCGTTGAGCGAAGCGGAAGCGCAATCGATATTTGTTATCGTGTTTGTAGACTGTGGCCACATTTACATCACTATTCAACTCCACGCACCAGCATTATTTAAAGTGCTTGAACCTATACTTCATTTCGCTAAATTTCGGGGTCGTCAACCTACGGTCCATGGCCGTTACGTTTGGCCAATAACTAGATTTTATACATATTAACTGGTTCATATAATCACAGCATGATGCCCCGGACCATTTTTATTTGATTCACTGATAATGAATGTATCCCAGTACCGCACAAACTGAGACTGAAACTGGACAACTCGCTTTTCGAGGTTCAGGTTCATTATCTTCAGATGTTATGGTATGGTAAGCATTTAATGTCCGAAGAAAATGGTCAGCGTTAGCAGTGCTAGGCGGGTATTATGAGCTTTCAGTTATTTCAATATTTGTTTAGGCTATTATTATTGTGGTATCTCCTGTCAATTTAACGCGGAATATATAGTATTATCTATACAATGGCGGTAACTACATATTTTCTGCCGGTTACTGTTATTATCATTGATTCGTAATATTTCGCTACGAGCGTGGCTCGATTCACATTGTTATTATATTGGCATTCAAGATTTAAGAATAAACATCTTTTGATGCATTCCAATTCCATCAAAATGTCGATATGCAAAAAAAAGTTCTAAAAATTGCAGCAGTTTTGTGAATAAAAAATAGCTGTAAAATAGACCTGTGTAACTTCAACAACAGTGCGCCGAAAAACGTCTAAAAACGCGTAAACAAAAACTAAGATGTAAAAAAATAACTGCACCCGATATGACTGGCTTAAAGGGACCCTCCCACCTTAACATTAGTTTTGAGTTGAGATAGCCAAGTTTGCGGCCAGGCTCAGAAACCACCATTTATCCTGGTCGCAACCCCCGCAGCTTTATGGTGTTCAAGAAATTTCTTCCCTTTACTTGCAGGGTGGGACCAGCGTGGTCCCTATCTCTTAACCATTACGGGAATCTGATGACGTCATCAGGCTTTCGAACGTCCGTCATTAAGTTTGACTAAAACGTTTTGTAGCACGCGGTGGTATATGCTGATTTGCGCGCAACAAATGCCGCACTTTCAAATAAAGTCGCTAGGAACAGCGGAGATCCCAAAAAGTAAACAAAAGTAAAAGTCTAATATCTTGAAAACCGGTGAATATTTTTCGGTGAAATTTGGTAGATATTCGTTTTTGCTCCTTCTGAACCGAGCGACATCACTTTCATGCCAATTCATTAACTTTTTTGAAGGTGGGAGGGTCCCTTTAATTTTTGGCTGGCGCGCCTTATATGTGTAGGGTTCTGTCTATCCTCTAGCCTATCCTTCCCTGCCTACTTACAGACTTGATGGAACCCAATGAGGTAAGAGAATGAGGTAAGAGATTGCGAGGCCACCGTCCTTTCGGCGGCTCTAGGACTTGTCTTGCCTGGGTTGGCGACTCTAGAGTAACGCCAGCATTGGATTACTCCTTAATTATCCTCACAGCACAGACATGCATGACATTAACATTTCAACCGTTTTTATACCTCGTTCAAAAATCAAAATAGAAATCCAACCACATCAAGACGATACCAAAAATTCAAAACCATGCATCAACAGATAAATTGAAATCAAATTACAGCACACGTAGGCAATTATACCGGTTATAAGAGACACTGTTCAAATGATACTTTCATTACCCATTTAGTTTCTTTTAGCAGAACTCTAAGCCAGTAAGCGAAAGATTTTCGTCATCAACATCAAATAATACCTGTAAATGATGTCGACAGAACAGCACGTGTCTGCGCAGTAACTGAATGCTTCGCGCTGCTTTCACTCAATGATTATATGGTAGCACTGCGCTACCAGATCAAGTTTTTCCGGTGTCTTTGAAGGCGGATCATTGCCTTTGAACCGTGGTAAGCGTGGCAGCGCCTATCCTATCCACATTATGCAGGTTGCAGGCACTGTATTCTGCAACCACTCTTAGCCTTCGAGACGAATGTCCTGAGAAACGAGAAAATTAAAACTCTCGTCAACAAATATTGTAAATTGTGTGGAGGAAGAAAGGGTGCACGGCGTGCAGTTGGACCTCAAACAAAAGAGATGAGGAACAAACAGGGGCTTCACAACGGTTTCAGGATTGGATGGTCCGACCAAAAAGTGCACACTCTTATACAAGGTTGCATCATGAAAGTAAAATTATTGGGGTCTAGAGTCCAGACCCCCCCCCCCCCCTCCCCTCCCCCGACCCCTTGGTGGTGGTCGGTGAAGCCCCTGGGAACAAACAAACCTTACCCAGTCCAGATTCGTGACGCTTGGGATCGACAGTTGAAAAATGAAGCGGTTTCAGGCCTATTGAGATCAACAAAGATCGTCAAACGATCCCCAATTTTGCACAGAAGATTGGAATCCACCCAGCAGAGGCCAGAGCTATAGAGTGCTGAGAGTCGGGCATCAAATGGCTACGGACTAGGTACCTAGCTCCCGGGTTACTTTTACAGGAAAAGTCGAGAGGGGGAATAAAGCTCGGGGCAAGGGCGGATCCAGGGGCATCTGAAAGGGGGCCCAATGCCATTAGGTTTTTGTTAGGATGGCGCGTGCAGAACCTTACCTACCCCCAAATCCTACTCTCTCCCCGGATTCTGGCCACTTTATATTGTTAGGTTGCCAAAAAAAATAAATTAGCTAAAAAATATACGTAGGTACCTACCTTGGCGGTAAGGGGCGGGGGAGGTCCCAACTTGACTGCGCCCTTGCAAAAGTCAATCAGTAGTATCAACCTATTACTCTGGCTAAACATCAAGTAGCGCCTTTCTAAATAGAGAGAGGTTAGCACGTGACTATTTTTGCTAGGCCAAGACCGATTGAAGGACCCTGGTTCGAAGGAAGACCCTTGGTTCGAAGAGGTCATGACCCCCGTCCCCCGCCGGTTTCTACGCCTGTAGCGATATGTCAGTGATTGCGAAGAGACGGAAGAGACAAAACAAGAGACGGTCCCACCGACCATCCGATCGGTATCGGGTCAAATCTGGAGTTCCCGCTGCACTGAACGTAAAATGGTTGGATGGAACCTCAAATTGAAAATTATCTTAGCACCAGCAACGTTGATTGATGACAAGAGTCTGATCAACGATGATTATAGAATCTGAGTAGCGAATTGATTGAAAATGGGCTCAAAAATAAATTTGAAAGGTGGAAATTCCCCCTTCCCTCCCTAGCCGTTCACGCACAATTTGAAAGGGGGAGCGGAATTTTCGAAGGGGGGAAATTCCCCCTTTCCCCCCTTTAAAAGTTACCCTGCCTAGCTCGAATGTCGAATGATGTGCTTTCGATCGCAATTATTCCTTTTACTCGAGCCTATGGTATTCAAGATTCAAGAGCTTCTGTGCAGACGTTTTTCTGACTTGGCCCGCAAATGACCTTAGATCATCGCGTGGCCTTTTGAGGATCGTGGGAAAGAAACTTTAGGGGCATTGGCAAGTGGTTTGGTGCCATTTTCAGCGCCCTACACTGAAAACAATTTAACCCAAGGCCGGCGAGTAAACCGGTGTTTCGCGGGTAAGTACCCCTATCCGCAACCATTTTTAACCACCCTCCCAGGAGTCAATTTAGGGCATTACACTTCGCAATTCACCCTGGAAAGTAGTAACCCTCCACGACTATTCGCGCACCAGTGGCTCGCGACCCCTCCATGGAAAGGTATTCATTGACGCCTACCTGGCAGACGCGCCCCACAAACCCCCAAGAGAGGGATTACCCTCCATGCCTACCCTTCGCCGACCAAGTCACGAGGGCCCAAAAAACTCCCACGCTTGTCCATTTTTTAGAGAAGATATCTATAAAATGACAATCTCACACCCAGAAAACATCGGTGAGAAAGTTTCACATCGGTGGGAAAGATCAAATCGAATTCCCATAGGAAATTCGACATGACCCTATCACCATCAGTCATGCGGACCGCCCGAAAACATGAAGACTTGACGCCACCGCTTTCGTGACCTTTATAAGAATTAAAATGGTCTTTATTGATAGTTTCGGAAGAAAAAGCGCTGCCAATCGTCCCGTGATGAATATTGCAGAGGTTTTAAAGATGCACCCGAACAATTGCACTTTCGCCCCCACTTGGAAACCGCCAAACAATGTGCCAATATATCATTGGTGCAAAAAAAGTTAAAGAATTGTTGTAATTCAAAACTGTAATAAGACAGCGCCATCTAGTTGTGGTGGTTGAGCCAACTCCTTCAGAAAAGGTTATGCTAAGGTTCGCCATCCACGGATACGCGTATGCGATAGGCTCGAGTAGTTCCAACTCTTTCGGTGAGGGCTATGCCAATGACTCGACACCCGCGGGGACAATATCCGGTGCTGGGTAGCTACCTTACCTATCTTCGGACTGCAGGTACGTTGCATATTTTTGAGTAATAACGCGGGGTAGTCTGCTTACCCTCTTACCCTCTATCTGGACATGGATAGTTAATACGCATATACCACCCGCAGTGCAAGGCTAAATTCGCCAGCTCCGGGTAAAATTGTTTTCAGTGTAGTGTGCTGTAGTGCGCTCTAGTGCACTCAGAGGAGCCATATATGGCTCCACTGGGTGGGCCACAATCTGATATGCAGTGACCTTTGTTGACCTCTTTAGGTCAACAGTACCGCTAAACGTGCCGTCAAATAGCTTATAGGCAACGTACTTACATATTCTTAATCACAAGAGCATTCGGTAAATTGCTTATGAGCCCGTACCCCACTGGGGCTCCTGGACTTCCACGCCCTGCTGGGGGGGGGGGGGGGATTGAACATCCACGCTTCTAACTTGGCTCCTGGGGCTGGGCCACTTAGGCAGGCCATCTTTTAGGCAGCGCTCGAAAGAGCTAAAAAAAATAACGAAGCAATTACTTTGAGCACTTTAGGTCAGATCAAACGCCGGGCTACCAGAGGTCATCGAAGGAAAAATTTCGCCAATTTTCAGGTCATACTCGACAAACCGCGCGCCGCATAGCCCAAACGGATAGAGCTACAGCGCCGCGGAAAAGCGCATTCGATAGCTCTCTTAACGTCCGTTCGCTATCGTGTCGTCAGATTTGACCTATATTGGTTAACGGTTTAGCCTGCAGTGGCCGTATTCACAATCACGGCCGTTATGGGTATAGGGGTAGGAGTAACGGGGTTATTTTTGTGGCCGTATTCACAATCGAAGTTTACCTCTGATGGTCGCCCGGCGCCACGCAGACGGCACCACGAAGGCCGGGTGCAGGTGGGGGCAAAAAACGGCAAAATAGAAGTTGTTTCTGCAATAACTTTTGACTCAAAAGTAGAATGAGCTTACTCTTACCAGCATCGTGCTCCTCTCGTCGAGACGCATAGAATGAACTCTAAATTGACATTGAAAGGTCAACTTGTAAATGTTATATCAGGTCAAAGTCATGACCTGACTGGAAAAGGTCGTGTTGCACATTAATCGACCCGTATCGTCGAGCTGAACACATCTAAGGTGTTTTCACCGCTCTAATATGCCTCTATCAAAAGCTATTAGCGAAAACTGTTGCATACCTTTCGTGACCTGAGATGACCTCAGGGACTTAAGGAGGGGACACGTGTGCTTCTTTCCGGTTAAGTATGTCATTTGTACTTGGAAATCGGTATTTGAGAGTGAGTGTTTAGAATGGCGCTCGTTAAAAAGGCGCCTTTCAATTTTCTTCAATTGACTTATATACCTAATGAAGAGGTTCGCAAAACTGACCCGACCTTAAGTCACCGATTTCAAAATGCTGTGATAAAATTTTGTACATACCTACTGTTGCCCTTATGAACTGCTGATTGTTTTAAAGCGATCCGCCTCCTGCTGTAGAGCTATGACATGCATTGGATCTTGTTTGAGGTGAGGTTACTTGACCTGACCTAGTGAGCTGACCTTGAGAGAGCTTTGCCTGAAATTTTAACAACATGTGTTAAAAAGATGTATGATAAGCGTTGTCAAAAATGGTGGCGCTCCGCCCCGCAGTTTTTGAGATATTTGCGTAAAACCGCAGGGGGCGGTGGGTGTGGGGTGCTCACCCCTTCCCCAACATGGCGTGGGTTAAATATAGTTAATGGCCGTTTTGTCACTATATTGCCTCTGAGACTGGGCTCACTCAAATGTCTGGTTGGCAGCGTAACACGGCTCTCTTTTTCTCTTCCACTTCACAATAACCAGCGCCTCTTGACCTACTCCTACTCAAGTCAGCTGCTCAGCATCACTGAACATTGTGTCCTCGTTGCTCAAAGATGTCGCTGACCGGTTGGCGCGAGTAACGCAGGTGAAAGTAATCCAAAGTCAAGCCAGGGTCTCCTTCAGTGAACGTAGGATGTGGGAAAAAGCAAAACCCAGACGGAAGAGTGGGCTCGGTGGTTGTCCTGACTTGACGTCGTTTCCCTCCCCACAGTCACTCGTCACTCCACTTGCACTGATCGGTGGTGTCGCAAGGGGTACCTATCACATTATTCAACTTGACGGCGCCCCTCCCTCTCTGCAGCTGGCGATCCCGAGTCCCGATGACCCGACCCAGGTCACCGACGTCTGCTCCTACCGCTACATGTTGACGTCACGGCCAGCCCATACAGCAATCCTGAATCCACTCGCCGACCCGGGCTGGAGCGGCGTGGTAGGCTGTGCCGCATAACATCTCAGTCGAGCGGCACAGTCTACCAATACCAGGCGGCTGCTGCCTGGCGCTGGGCCATACGCTCTGGTTTTACGTACCGGTAAAAAAAGGTTCCGGTAATTCATTTTGTACCCAACTTTACCCACCCTTGCGAAAAGATTCAAGGCAATAATAAAGCCGATGTCACCTTTACTAAAAAGAGCAATGATAAACATCTTAGAGCATTTAACATCATAGTAAGTATTAGTCACCATAGTAAGTGCCTTTACCTTCACTTGAGCTTCTTCATAACCTCATCACTCCTTCATAGCAGACTTCTGAATTCATGTGTAATTCTATGTCATTCCGGCAACGCTCTACTAATTGGCGAGACAGTAAACATCCCTGACTTGAAGCCTCTATTTGGCATCACTTTGATACATGTCATGATTGAAACTTGGTCAACTGTCCTCGCTCTCGTACAGAGCGTCTAAACACACCACCATAACAGCGTGATAACGGGCGAGCTGGCGCGGGCCGGGTGCTCGCTGGCGGCTGGCCCGTGTAACAAAGGATCGGTGGTCACCGGCGCTGGCTCAGCGGTCTCTCCGACAGAAAGAGAAGCTGCGAGGAGCGTGGGAGAGCGGGAGAGAGGGCGCCGGAGTGGGAGAGGGGAGCGCGAGGCCCATCGATCTGGCGTCGGCGTCGACCGATCGTTACCCGGCCCCTGGCAGTGGGCACGCAGCGAGCGCCGGGAGACGGTCCGACCGGCCGGACCCGTGCGCCGCGCGCCGTACAAAACCGCCGGCCCGCCCACCGCCGGCGCGCACACCCACACACACACACACACACACACGCACAAATGGACAGCTCTCTGCGAAACACGCACGACACTCGTTCACTCACATCTCAGGCCACTAGGAGGCATACGCTAACCGTCACTACTGCGCGCACTTTTCGTTCGAGCTCGGCGGCGGCGGCGCGCGCTCCACCTCACAGCCAGCCACAGGGCCGCCCCCGCCCCCGCTGCCGCCGCCGCCGCCGCCGCCGTGATGCCGGGGGCGGCCGTCGGCCGGCCGGTCGCGGAGGTCAGCGCGCGGCGCCGGCGGCGCTGTATTGTCCAGGGGGCGGCGGCGCGGCGTCCCGCCGGCACCGGACACGAGCCGTGCCGGTCACACTCCGTGCCGCGGACGCAGCCCGGATGGAAGCAGCAGTCGTCGTCACCGTACTGCGGCGCGCCCGTGACGAAAGGTACCACCTCGGGTATGTCCTTATCTGCGAACACACATAAAACTGAATGAATGAGTGCTTCAGTTGGAATGCTACGTGCGCTCTGAATGTTTGATTAGCAGCTAGTTGTCTAAGACCTACTGAGTTGTTAATGCTGACCTTTTCGTTAAATTGATATAATTGCGATAGGGGTGATTTTTTAAACTATTTGATGGCTAGTGGTTGGCTTACGACATCCCGCGCTACATAATCAATATGATTTCATCTTACAACACACTTCATATTTGGACCGGCCTTATGAGGATAAGATCCAAACATAGACACAAAAGCTAATAAGCTGCCCTTTCAAAGGCACGTTGCATCATTAGAAAATAACTTATCCTGAATATATACGTTATTCAGCGAATTCAGCTGTGGTGAGGCCGTGGCTGGCTGAGCGGTTACCTCCGCAGTAGAAGGTAGGCTCTCCGGCGTACTGGTGACTGCTCTCGGCCCTCTCGGCCGGTAGCAGGTACGGACAGGTCTGCTGCACGCGCTGGCAGACGGAGCGGCACGGTCGCAACCGGCCCCCGCCCGGGCTGGCGCCGTGGTAAGGCAGGTAGACGGCGCACAGCCACCGGCGGTACGCCTCCTGTGCGGGAAATGGACGGTCAGAACAGACCACAGCTTGGTACTGAACACACCGACACTACACATAGTCCACACAGTCAGAGGCGGCACGCCTCCTGTCGAGGAGATCGTCGTCTGTCCTGCTGTCTATCTCCCGTCCAGGAGATAGACGGTCAGAACAGCCCACAGTTACTGAACACAATTGCACTACACAAGTACACATACTACATACATAGTTCACAGCCACCGGCGGTACGCCTTCCGTACGGGACAGAGACGGTCAGAACTCTGAACTCAGATCACGCCGATACCAGTTCTATACACTAGCAAATGTACAGGTCTCGCGAGATTAAGCGGTAGGTTTTGCACTGTTACATTTCTGGTTATATCTCAGAAACTAATCGATCTACGATGAAGCCATTTTACACGATCATGGCCGGCTTGTTACCCAACAAGTCGATCGCATCTTCAACACTTAAAAGCTTAAGACGACGAAGATATAGCATGAAGTACACTAAATTTTCTAGGTGCAAAACCTACCGTTAAAACCCGCGAGACCTGTACATAGCTACACAACGGCGGCGATATACGCCTCGGCTGTATGTACGCTAGCAATAGACGGTCAACAGATTACAGGCAAACTTCGAACAAACATGTAAGAATCACAATATATTTTCAAAATCACGAAATATCTACCTATATGTATGCAATGGACATGGGTTGCAGCTGATGACCAAGAACCACTTGAAAGGCTTTGTAATGACATTAAAAGGCCACTGGCACTTTTCCGACAATAACTTGCTGTACCTACACATGAAAGAGAAATAAATATTAATTTTAAATAATGACTTCGTCAATCAATGGGCCATCCCGTCGGTGATTCTGAGAACTAAATAAATGAATAAAAGCATTTGAAATACGCTCAGGTCGCTCAACAATACGACTTTTTCATATGCAGCATGACCTTTTCGGGTCAGATCATGACCTTGATCCGGATCTGAGGTCAAATCATAGTTCAGTTGGTGGGTCTCGACGAGAGAAACATGACGGAGGTAAAAATTACCTACACATTGATTAAGCCCTAAGCTATTGCGGGATATTGTATCAGGAAAATCTATTTTGACGGTTTTCGCCCTCTTTGGGTCTAACCGTTGACCTGAGGTCAAATATGAGGATATAAGGAAGCCGGGGGAAGCCCGGCAGGGTAAGCTCTTTTTCGTTTTCATCACATACTCGTACCTTGCGTGCTGCATAAAATGTTGTTATCCTCTTAGCTAGATAAGTTAATTGGCCGTGTTTTCCCAAAAAATCGGATTTGTGGAACGAACATAAAGTTGCGTAATCCGAGTTTTATAAAAGCATTGATTTTTTTGATGAAACCTTTATGTGCCTTCCAAATCTTGACGGAAAGTAAAATCCCCCAAGGCAGTTTTTCTGCTCTGCACTAAACATTTTTAACCTTCGCCCCAGTGGAGGCGGGGCATATGTTACCACCCTGTCGCGTTTTTTGCTTGTGAATAAGAAAGCGCCGCGCCGCTTGGCGTAGCTTGCTGTACATCAATTTTTGACAAGGTGTGAAATTTTTGACCCCAGGTCATGTCAGGTCAGGTCACTTGGTCAAGTTAACTGACCAAGCCTAAAAAAGTTTGTCCACCCTGCAGTGTTTGTCAGAGAGGTTTTAACCCGCGCCCGGCTGGGGGTCCTGGATTTCCACGCCCTGCTGGGGGGGGGGGGTGTTTGAACACCCCCCTTCTAACTCGGCTCCTGGGCCACGTAGCGATACGTGGAAGACGGCGTTCGAAAGAGTGTCAAAAATAATGACGAATCACTTCGGTCAATTTTTTGGTCAGGTCAAAGGTCAGGTCACCAGAGGTCATTGAAGGCAAAATTTCGCCGATTTCCAGGACGAATGTCGACTATTTCCAAGAAGCCAACGCATAACTCGGGAACCAATAGAGCTACAGCGCTGCGGAAAAGCGCATTCGATAGCCCTATTAACGTCCTTTCTGAGTAAACTTCTCAGATTTGACCTAACGTCAACGGTTTTGCCTGCAGGGGGCAAAAACTGCAAAAATAGCCGATTTTTTCGGAAACAGTTTTTCTGCAATAACTTTTGACCCAAGCCTTGTACGATCTTACTTTTACCGGCATCGTGTTCCTCTTGTCAAGACGCATCGAATGAACTATAACCTGGTCTTGGAAGGTCAACTTGAAAATTTGACCTCAGGTCAAGGTCATGACCTGACAGGAAAGGGTCATGCTGCATATCAGTCGATTCGTATCGTCGAGCTGAACACATCTAAGGCGCTTTCATCGCTCTAGCATGCCTCTATCAAATGTTATTTGCGAAAAACTGTTGGATACCATTCGTGACCTAAGATGACCTCAGGGCATAAACAGGGGTCGCGGACACCATTTTCATGTTCAGTGTGTCTAAACCACTTGTAATTCAGTGTTTGGTAGTGTTTATAATGTCTTTCGTCCAAAAGAGGCGCATTTCAATTTTCTCCCATTGACTTATAATGGGGAGGTCGCAAAATTGACCTGACCTTAGGTCATCTGACCTTGAATGACCTTGGTCTGAAATTTTAATAACATGTGTAGAATTGATGTATGATAAGGTGTACGTTTTTGAGATATTTGCGAAAACCCACAAGGGGGGGTGTTCAAACACCCCCCCCCCCCCCAGCAGGACGCGGGTTAAACTTGGTGGATTGCACGATGTTATGGGCACCTTACCTACTTTGTATATCTCGGATTTTTTACGGGCGATGCTGGCGTTTTTTTTGTGGCGGCGGTGTTTGCGTTTTTTGCGGTGTTTGCGTTTTGCGGCGGACGCGCGTTTTTTGCGGCATTTTGTGCGTTTTTTTCTGCGGTTTTCGGCGGGCGGGCGATTGTTTTTTTGCGAAGTTTGCGTTGGCGTTTTAGGCGTGCGTTTTGCGTTGTTTCCGTTTGGCGGCGGGCGGGCGGTTTTTCACAATTAAAGTCCCAACCTTCGGATCCGCAGTGCTGTTCGACAAGCGCTGCCCTGGCCTATATCTCGGATTTTTTACATCCGTGACCGAAGGTCAGGCCAGTGGCGTGACCTTTCCATTATAAGTCAATGGAGAAAAATGAAAATGCCTCTAGATCCGTGTGTACGCATAGGAACAGGCCAAGTATTTCAGAATCACAATGGTTTGGACCACCCATGACGACCAAGGTGTCTTTTTGCTGATAGCCTCTAAAAAGGTCATCCGAAGTCATTTGAGACTACAAACATATTTTTGCCAATAACTCTCGATTGGAAACAGATAGAACGCTGGGGATGGCTTCATTGTGTTTGTCTTGTCGAGACGCATCGAATGATATGCAACATGACCTATTTGTGTCACCACGTGACCTTGACCTCAGGTCAAAGTTTGACCTTGACCTTTCCGGGTAAAAAAAATATATTTTCCGAAGCGACTGAAGGAGAGCACGATAGTGCCATTGCCAATTTTTCATCTTTGCTGGTTCAAAAGATATTCGTGAAAAAGTTGCATTCAAAAACAACTAAATGTTTGACCTATGGAGGATTAACCCGCGCATGACTGGGGTATTTTCCATAACGCGAGTGACTGGGGGGAGGGGGCTCTCCAGAACCCCCCTCCTATCCCCGAAACTACTGGGCAGATCGTCAAAGTTCAAACGGCGTCAGATAGCCCTGGAACAACTGGTTAACGAAACCTATTTTCATTGAACTCGAGGTCACCGATGACGTCACAGGTCAGGTCAAAGTAAAAATTATCGGCATTTTTGCTTGTTTACAATTTAGGCTCTGACCGCCGGCTGACAAGTCCGATCAGGCTCATTTTTGGCTTACGCACTCCTTGATATATGCCTTAGATACCCTGAGGATACCGAACTTTTTCTTCGAATTTTTCAGGTCAAGGCCAGGTCATCCTAGGTCACGAAAATTGTATATCATGTATCGGTCACGTGACGGATGTTTTATGGTCCATTTTGCTCGTAGATTTCGAAAACAATGTCGTCTGTGTCATTTGAGGTCAATTTAAGCTAAATTTACCGGAGGTTAGGTCACTTTCAGGTCAGAAAAGGTCAAATTTTGAAAATGAAATTTTTCAACAAAAATGTGCCTATCAGATGCAGTTTGAGCTCAGGAACACGATGGTGCTATTTATATTGCTGTATGATGTCAAAAACGTACTGAAAATGGTTTTGAAAAATATATAACTGTAAAATTTTGACAATAATGCAAATAACTTGGCTATTTTTGAAGACATTGGGCTAAAAATTGCTAGAGTAGTTTATCAGTGTGTGTTCTATCACATATATTCCGGTTTTTACGAAAAATCAAAAACTTTTTGAAAAAAAATCAAAAATATATGTTTTTTTTGTAATTGTAAATACATATTTTTCAAAATTTTCAAAATTTTGAAAATTCGAGATAGCAGTTTGATAGCTACGTGTATTGGTAGTTCACTGATGCAAAGAAACTGGTTCTACCTTTACAAATGAACTCTTGAGAGCGTTTGCTGTAGTTCAATATTTTGTATCAAAATCGGCCGATATGACGTCACTTTGACGTCACTTACAGCCAAACCATGGTAGCTAGAAAGTTAAAATTTTAACACAAGGTGTCAAATTGATGCCGCTGAAGGTACTGCAAGTTTCGTTTTGATCCGTCAAACAGTTTAGAAAATATTGCCGAAAAAGGGAGAGGGGCTCTATAGAGCTCCCCCCCCGTCATGCGCGGGTTAACCGTTGACCTGAGGTCAATTTTGATGATGACCTTATCAAAGGAAGAGTTGAAAGGCTATCGATTGCTTTTCATGCGTTTCTCTAGCTATCATAGTTTCTGAGATAACGGCATGTTTCCTGAAAAATATTATGACATTTGGCAAATTTTGACCTTTGATGACCTCTGGTGACCCCCAATATTGCTCTAAGATGAAAAATGATGAGATATTTTCAAAAGTACGCATTGAGAGCTATCGACTGCTTTTTACCGCGTCTTTCTAGCCCTCTTAGTTTTTTAGTTAGAGGTGGGTGGTAACATATGCCTCCCCCCCCCCCCCCCACTATGGCGAAGTTGGCTGAGACCGCCACTGGGGCGCGGGTTAAAGCTAGAAGCCTGATTTTTGGCATAGCTGCTCTTCTATTTTTTTTCAGCGTCCACTGAAAATTTCAAGTTTCTGTGTGTGTTTTTTTCGGAGATATGACCTTGTTCTTCAGATCATGTCATGTCTCATGACCCAAATGACGAATAAGGCCTACCCAATATCTTGCGTTGGCTATGAGTCTTTTGAGCTTTTGACACCTTGAGTTGCCAGTCTGACACCTTCGACAGTTTGACACTTGTTTTGCCAGTCTTACCCCCCCCCGCTCTCTTTCCCACCCATCGTATTAGGTACGTAAAATGTTTAGTACAGAGCAGAAACACTACCTGGGAGGGGGGTGGCAACCCCCCCCCCCCCCATGTGCGGGCGAGGGTTAAACTTTGGACTCCAAATTCTGTCATAGAACCGAAATTGCGCGATCAGAGGGTAGAGGGCAGGGTCAACGCAACAAGCTTCGCTTAGCTCTGTCCTTATGAATCCTTTCATTCAAAAGGTTTGGACTAAATGTATGAAAAAAGGTTTTATCTGATTCCTCGTTCACTGGCAACACGCTAGATTTTCCACGAAGCTCTATCTTGATCAGGGGCCAAATGACTGTGCCCCTACCCCTCCCCCCCCCCCGCCCCCACTACCACCTATATACCACCAGACGCTGAAGGCCAATACGGGAGGAATTGAATACGGAAAATTGGACATGGAATCACAAGCTTATTCAATCTGAAGTCTAACCTGAAACATTGCCGTGTGCATGGGGTTAGCAAAAGTCAATGACATACGATGGCCTTTGACTCAAATACCTACAAGCATTTCAAGTACCCACGCACGGTTTTGTGAGAGAAACGCTGCCTGGGAGGAAAGCACCTATAAATATCGGTCGGAAATTTCATTGCTTACACTTCACTGTTACCACTTAATGTGTGGAGTGAGGACGAATGTACCGATACAGCAGGGAAATATCCGCTGAAACTTGCAATATTGGTAGGTTCTAAGCACAACGGTCATCCATCTGGATGGTTCCCAATGATGTGTCAACTCTAAATGTCATCGGTGAATCCATTTTCAAAATGCAGAAGCGAGCCCTGCACGTGCGCAAAGAGTAGTACCCCCACCGACAACGACGACACATGGCAATAGTGCAATGCGTCATTGCTCACAGCCAGGTGGACAGCCGGACGCTCTGAGGTTTCCGTTAGCTTGAGCCAGGCCGGACCCGGTCTGATCGTAACACCTTTACGTGTACGCCGGGAAGTTTTTACGTCGCCTCCCGGCTCCATCTAGCTCGGCGCTAACTGGGCCACGTAGCGACATAACGTAAGCGGTTTCCCAAAGGTCGTCAAAACAGTAAAATATAAAAATATAGGTTATCTTTCAGACCATGCCAAGGGTACAATCATCCAACCAAAGTAAATTTTTCCTGATTTTGACATTCTTGGACAATTTGGCTCTGAACTAATGAAAAAGCAGCAAGGAAAAATATTTCGTATCTCTTTTTAAGTTTGTTTTTCCTTATTTTCATTCAAGGGACGTGGGATCAAGGTATGAGGGGAGGATACGTTGGACTGATTCGACCAGCGGCTGGTGCACCGCTGGGCCCGAGGCACACCGTTAGGACTGATGTGCCTCGATGGAGTCTGGCTCCTGCTCGTTTGATCCACGTTTGGCTCCTATAAACCTGTCGTGTCACCTTAGGCCCAACCATTGGACTTAAGCGTCCCAATCCTCTCTCGCCTCACTCCGCCGAGATTCACTAAGCCATGACAATTCTCCTATCCCTCTCCGATCAGTTACAGGTAGTGTTAACCACGATAAACGTTTAGAGCCTCGTGCCAAACGTCCCATTTGCAGCCGCATTTAGACTCCGGTGCTGTGAAGTTTAAGCTTCTAGCTTACGCCGTCTTGCCAGTTTCGTTACCACTTACCCTTACATTTGATCAGCACGAGAACTGCTTGCAGGCCGCAGGGGCCATTATTAAAAGTTGGATGGAAATAAGAAAGCATCGCCTCGGCCATTCATTCAACCATTCACTAGGTAACGGTAGCGTATTTATCGCAATACCTAGTTCGTACGTCTTAACTCAGAACGGATCGTTGGTTCTGCGGTCTGCAGCGTCCGCCGCACTCACCTTACACGTTGAACAGTTGTGCATCACGGAGTAACGCGCGTCACAATCGTATCGGTCCAGGATGCTCACGAAGCTCTCATACATCGCGCCCACTTCTCTATCACGCACAGCGAGGCTGGCCAGGTGGTGTTCGAGCCTGCTCTGGTCACACCGCAGCGGCGCGTCGCTGCGCAGGTCCCACGGCACCGTGAACCACAGGCTGACCTCCGGACAGTGTTTGAGCCTGTGGCGGCGCAGCAGCAGCAGCGCCGGGCAGCCGGAGCCCTGGCCGGCCCCGTCGCCGCCGGTCGGGGCCGCGCACTGGCTCCGGTTGGCGGAAAGGCACTCTTGCAGGCGATGTGCGGCGGCCGGGTGGCGGCGGCCTGTCTCGGCGGCCAGCAGCCACAGTCCGAGGAGCAGCGGGCCGAGCTGCAGCTGCGCTCCGGGCCGGTCACGGCGCCGCGCCGGCGGCATCAGCGCGCTGCAGCGGCCGCCGCCGCAGCACCATCGCACCGCGCACTCCTCTCAGCGGGGCGCCATCTTGCTCTGGCCCGCCGCCGCCGCCGCCGCCGACGGACTCGTCCCGTCGCCGCCGACGGCAGAGGGGCGGCGCGCGCGGCCACCGGTGCCGATCGACTGGGACGGCGCTCGACGCTGCCGACCGACGCCGAGATCCGACCGCTCGTTAGCCGCGATCGGCCACCTCGACAGGGGGACACGGTACGCGAACTTCCGGCCCGATGCGGCCGGCGGACGGCCGCAGCCCATTGTGGAGCGTCAATTACCTGTGGCTGCTGGGATGGCCATTGTCCCGTTTCGAACGTAAGGGAGTTCATGAGCTGAGGGCGTCGAAATCCCATCCTTGTCTTGTCGGGAACGTGTCATGTTTTAGGATTATACGAGAGGCAGTCATGGGAAGAAATATACTCTTCTTCTCAGACTCTCGGAAAAGCCAGGACTTACCTATGCGTAATGTGAAGTGTAGGTAAGTACTACTGCTGCTTATATGTATCATTTAGTGCCCTCGACTAGCTTAGGTGGCTTATAACAGTACTCAATCAAAAGCAAATCTATTGAATTCGATTCTAAATACAAAGAAGTTAATTTAAAAGACATGTTTTCATTTTGTTTTGGAAAAAAAATGTTACCTAAGTAATGTACCGTCTATTGAGAACAATGTGAATTTGGTAGGTATTTGTATTTTAAATTTGACGTATTTTATGTGGATTATTTTTTATACGAAATTGATGGCTATTGAATCGATGTAAAAAAATCAGCCCGTACTGCTGGTGAATAAGTGCTTTATGAAACGATGTTTCAGTCTGTAGTCTGCACCGCTAATCAGAGGGATCAGTCTGGACTTCTGCCTCGCTATTTCAGTCTTTGACTTTGATCAGACAGCTCAGTACAGCTATACCTCTGAGCAGACCAGCCATATCCCCAACGCTGACTAGACATCCCATGTAGGTATACCGCTGAGCAGTCAGATCTATCTCCGTCGCTGACTGCGCCGGCCCCAGCAGCGGCTCTGATCGTGTCGATGCGGCACGGCGCCGCGGCGGCCGCGGGCGGTCCGCGGCGACGGTTCGACTGCCGGCGTCACCGCGCGCACCGCTCCGTCCTCACGTCAGCCGACGAGGGCCCTCAGCCGGTCGCTCGCCGACCGTCTTTGATGCTGACTTCACAGATTTGGCTCCGGAATTGTGGTCGAGAGTCACGTCTTTAAATAAAATGTAAAATGGGAGACATGGACGCTTTGTCACGGGAGTCGCAGTTTGGATGAAGATCATTTAACCCTTTCATTTAAATATTCCGCCAAGAATACGAGTAGGTAGTTGAAATTTGTTATCCTCCTGGTAACTTTCATCGGTGTTCCGATGTCTGACGCAACTAGATATAAAAATTGCCGCCGTCCAAGTACGAGGCCAACGAAGCTCAGTTTGTTAGAGCGTTGGACTCCGCGTGGTGAGAGCACGCGTTCCCGGTTATAACAGTCCGGGTTCGAAGCGCGACGGGCCTTGCCGCCGTCCAAGTACGAGGCCGGTCCCGTAGCTCAGTTGGTTAGAGCGTTGGACTCCGCGTGGTGAGAGCACGCGTTCCCGGTTATAACAGTTCCGGGTTCGAAGCGCGACGGGCGCTCGACATTTATGGGCCTCCTGACAGGTATGGTTGCGGTTGGTGGCAGGCCGTAGCCAGGCGAAGTCAGCGAGGGGACCGGCCGTGCGCGGCTTTGTGCGCACGTTAAACTTTGGACTCTAAATTCTGCCATAGAATCGGAATTGCGCGATCGGAGGGTAGAGGGCAGGGTCATCGCAACAAGCTTCGCTTAGCGGTGGCTCTGTCCTTGTGAATCCTTCCCATCAAAAGGTTCGGACAAAATTTATAAAAAAAAGAAAAAAAAGAAATTGTTAAACAGATAATAGAAATAGGTACGTTAAAAACAACATGGGCTGAATATAAATTCGAGAAGTCAGTGCGTTATTTTGAACGCACTTCACGCCAAACTTCTTTGGCGAAAGAGGACGACATGCAGGCTGTCTTCATGGACATCGACAAAATGTAAGCAATTATTCCAGTATATGGTTTGGCAACGATGGCATGCGCCATGCACATGATCGTTCTCGGCATAAAACTGAGATGTGGACAAAATGCAAGCTTTAGTAAGACTGGTCTCATATAGATGTCGCATCGGTACGCTGTCGGTGGTAGCCAGCAAACAATGGGGGATGGGATAGGGAGGTATTCAACAGAAAGTTATGAAACAACTAAAGCCATCGGAAAACTTGGATGTGTTCAACTCAGCAATGCGAATCGAATGGCGCACGGAATCATTTCTGGCCATCTCACGACCTTGACCTTAGGAAAAAACTTAGCTGACCCGTAAGGTCGATTCAAAGCATCTCGGCGAGAAAACCACTTTGGTCGTAAAATCAATGTCGTGCAAACTTGGCAGGTATACAAAGCAATTCGCAGTTATAAGTTGTTACGCAGTAATGCCATTACTACTGTAAAACATTGTTTTGCAAAAAGGACGGTTTTAACGGCTTTTGCTCTCTGGAGGCTGAACCGCTCAAGATTACCTTATGGACCGTTGACCTTAGGTCAAGTTCGAAGACAAGAGGCGAAAAGGCTTCAAAAGAGCTGTCGAGTGCTTTTGTATGATATTCCAGTTGTCGACGTCGTGTAAAAGCCATGAGACGAATCGCCAAGGAACTTGAAAATCGGAAAAATTTGCCTTTTGATGATCTCGGGTGACGTTCTTTGAATTGATCTTAACCCGCGCACCGACGGGGGGCGGATATCCGCCCCCCTGAGGTTTTTCGTAGATAGCGGGAAAACCGCGGCGCGTAGCGCCGCGAAATTAGTACGACTATCCTCTCATCAATTTTACACATGGTGTGCAAGTTTGAACCTCCTAACTTTCAAGGTCAGGTCACCAGGTCACTTTGAATGACCCAGCCTCAAGTCACTTTTTTGCAACTTTATCACCATGTCAGAGCTACAGTAGATGCCGGAGGTCTTTGAAAGTCGCAGGATGTTATAAGATCATTGGTAGCTACAATTTGTTTATCTCGGAATTTTGATATCGATGACCTAAGGTCAGGTCAATTTCTCGACCTCCCCATTATAAGTCAAAGGGTGAAAAATCAACTCCCTGTTTTAATTACTAAAACGAGTCGGAATGGCCCCATAAACCATACATTTTTTAGAATGGAGATGCTATTGCTGAGCATATTTATTAGTATGTATATAAGAAATATTTTTAAATGTAGCCTGATGCTCATCATATATTAGTTAAGTTTTAAGCGAAATAGACAAAGAGAATAATATTTCGACCACGGGTCATCATCAGATTCGAATAGGAAAATCGAGCAGCCAGCCAAAGACAACGAACCAAGATCCAGATAGCAAAAATATGCGGTGTAACGTGCCTAATCAGAGGCCTGTTTCACTAAAAACTTGCGATTACAAGTGTTTGAACTTTACAATTCATAAGTATTTTTGCAAACTATAACCCGGTTTACATAGCATATTTGACGAGGCTCTAGCTCGTTAATTTGGCGATAATTTCGATGCAGTGGTCTTCAAATATTTAGAGGGGATCATTTTGTGAATTGTTCAGCACCATTGGCATCTTTTGCAACATCGCGGACGGAGATATAAGCTTGCAACAAACCTTATGTAAACGCGTCTTATGTAAAATCGGATTTCACTAAACTTCATCACCAGCGGCACCTCCGATAAAAAGAGTTTGCAAAAAAACTTGTAAACAGTAAAAATGTTTTTAATCAAGAACTACAACATGTTACAGATATTGCTTCTTTTTATCAAATTATGTCTAGTATTCATGTCAAAAAATGCATGAATAAATTATAAATAATGATGCTGTTTCTAAATGACCTATAAATGATACTTCACAATATTTTATTATTGAAAGAAAATAACACGCAAAACATTTGACAGCAGAAGACTGTTGAATGCAATTATGGCGCGCGAATGACAAAACATGACGATATTTATTTATTGCTCGTAGCTGGTTCGTAGGGATTGTGCTAAGTAAAAAAGAGCATAAAATGACTCACTATGATGACTCAGCATATCATATTTGTTTTAAATAATTGATTGCTTTGCATCATTGCACAAAAAGTAATAAAATTCCGAACGTAAGAGCCACTGGAATTTCGGGTTTGTAAGTTCAACGCAGTGTTTTTATATACCTTGGTTCAACGTTTTCTTTCAAGTTTTTGGTCTTCGTGAAACAGAAAGTTTGCGATTTCGATGTTTCTTACAAACTTTTTTCTTGTAAAAAAGTTGGTAAATTTTAAACTCAAAATTCATGCTCGGAGGTTTCGTGAAATCCAAATTTCAAATGTTGGTAAATATTTCTTTTAAACTCAAGTTTTTTCTTTGTAGTTACACACTTTATTTGTTAGTGAAACAGGCCTCAGATGACACCCTAAAAGGAGATACACAATATAAATAACAGCAACGGTACATATAGACATGCCAAATACGTAACTGGCTTCTGCAATGGGTAACGACGGATACAATGCATACCTAGACAAACATGTCGCGTACATAGTTACAAATCATACGATGACGAGCATGATAACGGGTAAAGTAGGCGCCACGATGACGTGTTTTTATTCAGCAGCGGTTTTCTATTTCTAATCTCAATGGATTCTGTTATTCTAAGATTTGCTTCGTCTTTACATATGTCCAGAATAGTGATTTCAAATTGCTCATTTTTGGCTTGAATTGTCGCATTCGCCGTCAACATATGATCACCAAGGTCAGTCCCACTCCTTGTTTCTAGCATCACCCAAGTGTTCCATAAATCGTGTCCTTATCATATATCATATCATATCATCATATATCATAAATCGTGTCCTTATATGATAAGGACACGAATCGTGTCCTTATCATATATCATATCATATCATCATATATCATAAATCGTGTCCTTATATGATAAGGACACGATTTATGGAACACTTGGGTGATGCTAGAAACAAAAAGGGTGGGACTGACCTTGGTGATCATATGTTGACGGCGCATGCGACAATTCAAGCCAAAAATGAGCAATTTGAAA